ATCAGCCATAGTTATCTTGTCTCAGACTGGAAGGAGTGGTCGATGACATCCTCGGCAAAAATACTTCGAGCAGGTATACCATGTTAATAAGTCCCTGTATTCAAAATGATTTTTGGGGAACGAGTTGAGTGCTACAGCACAGGTGTCAAAGTCTTTAGAAATCGTGTTTCAGCAGTTGTTTAAATCTGAAATACTTATCTATTTATTTCTCACCACTGAAATGGATATTTTCATAATATCTTTTCTAAGGAATGTATTATCATATTTGATGAGGAATCTCAAAAATTCAGAATGTTGGAGTTGTGTTATGATTTTTGGAAGTTGATGGTTTTACAAAACCAGGATACCAAAATTTCAGAGCCTGGCCCAGAGCAACCTGACCGCTTCCATAAGCGAGGTTGGCCATCGGATTATAAGCTGGTTTGTTTGACCCGGTAACGTTATGTTAGTAGAGTCCGACAGGACTGTAAGGCAGACGATGCTGAGTGAGGTGAGCAAGGAAGGGGGGCCAAGTCGTAAATCTGTCGATAGATGACCACTCGAAGGCGCCTAGTTTTTGTCCTGAATTCGCACTCTTTCGTCTTTTTCGGCGGTCTGTTGAGGTTTTTTTTGTGCCGGCTGATCGACGCGAGTGTATCCGGTGGCTGTTAACTTCGGGGCGATATATCTTCTCGATCAGAGATAGCGTGGCTCGCATGTGACGAGGGGTGCAGCTGAGTGGCGAGGCGAGGTAGACGGCGATGCACTATACCCGGCGGCGACGCTCCTAGCCTCTATATCACACTGTAAGAAATCTTTAAAAAGGAAGTTAGTTATTTGTTAAGTGGTCTTAGCGTGGACTAGTCTTTGGAAAGTTGGTGTAGCGAGAAGGACGTGAGATCTAAGAGTGGGCGTTGCAGGATGTTTCGAAGGCTACCGTGGCAAATGCGCGGACCTGCCGTGAAGTAGAGTATTTATAATAATTCCTCTAGCAATACAGCTTCGTTTTTATCCATATTAGATAATTCGAGTGTGGAGTTTAGTTAATGTGATTAACAAATTTATCTTATTCAATTATATACCCCAAGCGTCGAGAGGCAGCACCCGCTATTTGACTTGAGGCATTTCCATATCCCATATATGGGTTTGGGATTGTGATCCGTGTGAAGTTGACTTAAGATTGTGGTTCTCACCTATGTAGGAGAAATCATTTACTCTGTTAGGGTAATTGTGAGATGTCCAAACTTCCGTAATAACTGTAAGCCTGAGTGCAGGAGCAGGTGGTGCGAGTCGAGAACTTCGTGGGCCCACGACAAGAGTGGGCGTGCGCGGTTGAGCTAACTGTCCGGCCCTGCAGAGATGTACCGAGCCAGGTTTGATGGAACACGTGGTCTAGGTGCCCTCACCGCGCACACCGCCACCGCAAGAGTTGTGAGATTTAGAGTTCGGTTAGCTAGAAACCGAGTGTAGAAATTCGGCCTCCGGCCAAAGACCCGATTGGTAGTGGATTCTCCCATGCGGGGACTGAGGGAGTGCTGAAAGCGAGGCGTCGGCAACAACTAGGTGATCGGAATCCGTGTCCGAGCGTGCCGGTCGTTCTCGAGTCGGAAGCCGAGTTTCGTGGCGTCCGATCTGGAGTGAGTGATGAAGAGGGCGGTAGGCTGATGAATCCTGATCGGGCCAAATTGGGTGAGCTCCATTCTATATCAGCTATTCTGCAGATGCGTGTCTTGAATGTTACGCCGTAGTTGGACTTACGATTACTATACTAATAGCATCGATGTCTGAAGGTCTTGATAGATAATTCTTGTGGGTGCGTTTATCCTGGCATATGTCAATTAGATTACTCATTTGGCAAAGGGAGATACCGATTTTGTTGGGGGCGAGTCATGGGGAATTTTCAACGTTGGTATAGGGCATCATGTCGCTCAAATCTATTAAGGATTTTGATATGTAAACCTTTGAGGATGGGACCTGTAATAATTCTGGGCCTGATAATCGATTAAGAATTAAAACCAGTAACTGCGCTCTGTCAATACAGTCTAGAGTTGGTCCTTGAAATAAGTCACACGTGGGGGCTCAAAAGTCAGTAGTTATTTGGCTAATGATCATTGAACCTTTATTGTATCGTTGCGATTGCATATTATACAATTATAATAAGAGCCACTGTTAGCCTCAGATACAGCGGCTAGCGAAAGTCAAAGTAAATTGCCTGATTAAAAACGGAGCCCTCACTAATCGCCCAATGGCATTGTAAAATTAAACTCACTTGATTGTAAGTCTAAAACTCATGGATTTTATAGTAGTGAAAATATAATAATATAAAATATTTTATATTAAGTTATGGAAAATGAATCTACAGGTGAATATCCAAGGGGAATCTCAGGTGCCACACTAGAGAGCGCTAGGCTTGTAGAATCGACATCATTTTCTTGAATTCCTTTATTTATTAGCGAATTCATGCGCTACCGTAACATTGATTCTACACGTTCTTAAAACTATTCCAAATCACCACCAATTTGGGTGAACCGTTGTGTTTTTAGCCATTCGTGTGACGCCGCAAAAAAGATTCTAATTCATTTCGAATCCGTTAAAGATTGTAGCAAGTGATAAACGGGTCCAAAACACTGACGGGTTCATCAAAAATTAGTGTGTTTTGTTGGTTTGAAAACGTGAGAATCCAGTTTCAACGCGAGCGGATCGCATTGAACAAAAAGGAAAGTGAAATGTGATTTATAAGGCTGGCGTCTCCTAGGTGGGGGGAAGCCAGGGTGTCTCAACCTTAGATTCACTTTCTCATATATAATATATATATATAGTATATATAATATAATATATATAAAATAATATTATATATATATATATATATATATATATTATATATAGATATATATCAAAGACGTATGCGTATTTAGTGTCTCAAACCCTCTTTTGTGAAAGGGAGAAATTTGTCTTTCTATGCTCCTATATCTAATGCATTATCTACTACTTATACTTTTATGTAGTAGTATGAGACATCTCCCAATCTCATGTCACCTACAATATCAAACAAAACTTATAAAGCAGATTTGGGTACCCAACCTGACCTGTGTGGATACCTAGATCACACATATCTTCTTTCATGTAGGTGTGCGGGAATGCTAAATAACAAGGTAACATCCAATTAGGTTATTCAGAAGATAAGAATTTGTGTTCAAGCCTGACCAAAAAGAAGAACGGGCATGTGACTTTTTGAGAATAAAAAACGAGGTAAAATTATTGAAGTTAGTGAGATAGGGAATTTTCTTTTTGAACTCCTTGTTATTTTTTGTTGAGAGCTTAGTGATAATCTCATATCCATTAGAAGAGTATTGGAGAAAAGTATGCCTATTTATTTTCTGAATCTACACATGCAAGTTTGATTATTTCAAATAGGTTCAATCGATTTGAATGTTAATA